AGGTCCTTTGTCTTTCCCCGTTGTCTTAAAGGAACAGCTCCTGTCTGCACTTTTAGTTTCACTTTTACATCGCAGCCATGGTGAGTAGCAGCTGTCGGCCTCCGTTTGTTTATTCAAAATTACACTTTTTTTTTCACTTGGGATCGAAACAATGTCTGAACTTGCCCTCTCTACTCTCTGTTTTATCCATCCAGGCCGGAAAAAGTACGAGGTGAGTTTGCTGATCCCACTGAAACACATCTGCGTCATGATGCGTTCACGAGCGTCAACGTTTCTGTTATTTTTTAGACAAGAACAATTTCTGAAATTGCAGCAAGATTTCAGAACAAATGCCTTCGAGATTATTAGGCAGATGGTTGATTGGTGCAATACGACTCCCGGAAGTAGACACCTAGTGGACGAGGTGAGTAAAAGCTGAAGTCTAAACCAGTCGCGGTTTTTAAAGAGGTTATCGTTCATGTTTTGTTGTTCATCAGATACTTCACAGCATCTTCTTCCTGGGAAAAATCAACACAACGCCATTCACTCCAGAGGAAATTATCCCCAATAAGGAGATGCTAAATGCCCTAAAGGAGAAATACCCAGAACCATTTGAGTGCTACTTGACTCACCTTCCCAGGCGCAGTCCGTTCTCCTGTGTGCTGGACATGGTAAGATATTAGTTTGACCGAGATGTCAGTATTAGTTACACAACACTAATCCACCATTAATACATCAAACATGATGGTAATCACAAAGTTATTAACTAGACTGCTGCAGTTAATACTCCAAAAGCAGGTCCAGTTTTTAAACACATCATAATGTAAAAACCAAACAAAAAAATGTAAACTCCAACTTATAGTAATTATTTTTTAAGTTTTTATTATCATCAACCAAAGTATATAGGCTTTTTGTTCCAGTCAGGCATTTGCATATTTAACCTAAATCTTATATTCATATGTTAATCATTCTTTTTTTGTTATTAATGATAAAACAAAGAATTTAAATAAAATTTGAAAACAAGATTATTTGAATTTATTAAATCCATACAGGGTTAACATTTTACAAACAGATTTAATACTAGACAAGGGGAGCAAACTGGACTGAACTAGGATTCAGAGAAATTACAAACTGTAAATCTGGAGTAAAGAAGAACAAACATATCAAAATCTAAAAGCACAAAAACTAACTCAACAAATCAACTAGCATTGTAAGACCTAAAAGGTAAACACACAACAACAAAAATGACCCAAATAAAACCCAAAACTCAAACTCACAACGATAACACCTCCATCATCTGGTGTTATTTTGACTGAATATGACTACTTTTATTGGTAGTAGTTCAGAACAGATTATTTATTAACTATAATTGTGTGATTTCAGTTTTCCTGTGTGTTTATTTTAAGTTTCTGTCTAGTGGGTCTCTGTGTCTGTCTACCCCTTGATTGTTTCCAGGTGTGTCTCGTTCCCTGATTACCCTCTGTGTATTTAATGCCACCTGTGTCTCTGTGTAGTGTCCTTCAACTCTTTATCAGTCTGCCATTGATTAGTGCTACCAGTGTTGAGCATTAGCTTCTGTTCAACTGTGCTGCCTGTTTCCTGGACTGTTTGAGTTTTTCCCCATTAAAATCATAATTTCTTCATCTCAAACCTGGATCAACCCCGTCTCTGTCACCACCGCCTACTGCACTCCCTGACAATAATATTTGCAAGGGAAGTATTGTTTTTAGGTAGGAGAGGCTGGTGTAGATCATACAAGGATATTGTGCTGAATTATTAAATAAAATAAACCCTCAGAATCCAGCTGCAGTTGATTGATTCTCATAATTGCTTCCAGGTTGTCCTGCAGAAGAGGCCTGAAAATGAAAACCAGGTAAAACAGACTTTGAGTGATCTGGTCAACCGTCTGAAAGAAGGTTTTCTTGTCTCTGCCACCATCTGCATCTCGAAATCCAACAAGTCGGTGCAGCAATACGGAGTCTCCATGTCCACCAGTGGCCCTAATCCCGGCAGGATTGTGATCGCTGCTTCCTGCTTGAGCTCCTACTGGGATGAATATGTGGCTGCAGCAGTGATGACCTTCTATCCTGACAAGAAGAAGAAGGAATACTTTGATGGAACCTTTAAGCTTGCTGAAGGCGCCACATGCAGGGCATATAGCATAAAAAAGGCGTCTGAAATGGAGCCTTGCAAATCATGTGGAAATCTCTTTGGCTTCCAGGAAACTTGTCAGAGAGAGTGGCCCTGGCCCTATGGCAACTGTGCTGAAGTTGAGAGTCTGAGCAACTTGTTTAAAAATGATGACCAAGTTAAGCAGCAGTCCAGACCACAATCTGACACATTCACACCAGAGAACAGAGAGAAGGTCAGAGATGAAACTCTGGAGAACCTCAAGAAAATCCTGAAAATGATTCAGTTTAAAACGTGGAGCGGTAAATTCTATGTTCCAGAGTAGTCGACTTGTAGAGAAGGCTGAGGCTTTGATATCTTTAATCACAAGTTGGCTTCTTATCTGTTTTTATGATTATTACCTTATTACTAATCATAAGTCTCCTCTCACTGCCTTCTAAGAGTTAACTTAGTATGCTATATCATCTGATGCTGTTAATGTCCTAATAAAGTTTGGAGATATGAAAAATTATTGAAGACTTCAGTTTTTAGTTGTTGCTAAGATATATTTATTTTATAATCGCATAAGGCACATCAAACTCAAGGTCTGGGGGTCAAATCTGGCCCGCCGAAGTTTTTTATGTGGCCCTTTAGACTCCAAATTACATCAATAAATAGGGGTGCACTGATTTCAGTTTTCTGGCCGATTACCAATAACCGATCTTGTAAAAAGCTTAACCTGCCAATTCCAATTTTGGCTGATACCAATTTTTTTTGTCTGATATGTTGCTCAATACAGCAAAAAAGTTGTTGAGTTGGCAACAGTGGGGTCACTGTTAATTATAAACGTGCAGACATAACTTGGTAGGCTGGTCTGGTCTGTCAGTAAAACCTCTCACTGGAGAGCAAAAAGGGAAGGTGGTTGATTCTTAGACCTTTGCAAAGCTAGACAAGATCAGTGGATGAGATCGGCTTCATATGCAAAAATTGACCAATCACCGATCTTCCAAAATTAAGGAAATTGGCTGGCCGGTAAATCAGTGCACCCTGATCAATAAGTCATTCCAGTTTTTCACAAATTTAAAAATTTCACACAAAATCAACAAATCTCCACATTTCTTTCAGATTTTACTGCAAATCTTCCCAAAATAGGTCAAAAACATTGAGTTTAAGTGACAGAAGCCTCACTTGAAGTCAAATTATAGTAAATGATACGGCAAGTAATAAAAAGTCACATTTAACATCAGCACAAATATAAAAATTCTTTACAAATGTTTCTAAATGGGCCCCCCAAAATCTGCAATTTTGATTGAAAAAAAAAACAATCACAAAGTCCTGGAGGAAAAGATATTTATTGATATATTAACATTTTAATTAGTTTTATCAATGTTTTATCTGGCAGAACCGGCTCTTTAAGAGCATTCAGGTTTTTGATATTAGGCCCAAAGTGAAAATGAGTTTGACGCCCCTGACATAAGATGAACAGACCAACCACTAGATGGCAGCAGAATCAAACTGAAATCATTCTACATTATACTTTAGTTTCTCATACACTTTGGTGCGTTTCAGAACCGACAATTGAAATTCTCAAAACTAATTGATTTTCAAGTCATTGTGTCACTTGTGCACTTCAAACAAGCAGTTTATCATTCCTTTGAGCAAACTGCTAATCCTTTTATACGTCCATTAAGTGATTATGAACAATTCTCTGCTTTTCCCTACATTTTCAACTGCTTGTATTAGTTGAAAATATACAATATGCATACGTTGACTCCATCCAGATTCTTGTCTTTCTATCGTCAGAATGTAACATAGTGTTGTCATTTAATGGTTCAGGTGTATGGAGAGTCATTGGCAAATTG